TGATTAATTGATAAAGATAGCTCCATCTGAGCATGACCAGTAATCAACTTGGTTTCCCACATCCATACATTCTGTCATGTGACCCATAGTTGAATGCTCATTCGAAGAATGTCTAATGAATAATTCATGAGCTTTAGAATTCCTAATATAATATAATTAGATATTACAATAGAATATTAAACTATTTACTAATTAAATTTCAAAAATTATGAAATGCCGTGTAGTATTACTTAAACCGGAAATCTTATAAGCACAATAACAACAAGTATTCTGCAATATAATAATCTGTTATAATTTTTCCTAATTTTAATTTTGTTTCAGTTTTGATCAATTTTATGTCACATAGTGATCAATTTATTTTCATAAATCTTTAGTATAAATTATTTGTTTTATATCAACACAAGAAATATTGGACGTTTCGATGACATCCTGACATCATTTACAGTGAAAGCAAAAATCTTAACTATAACTACTAGTTCGCATGTATGAAATAAATTAACATGCCTTGACATCTCTTACACAGGAAGCCCATAGAACTTTTCAGAAATAGGAAATGATGGTAGTTCATTGTGGTCTAGATGCAGTACAAACCTGGCCATATTTGGTCATAAACATCCGACTGAATAGCTTCCTTCAACACTGTTAAGATCCCTTGAATGTATGTTTTAGCAGTTTGCCAAACGTTTTCGTGCCCTAAAATGACCTCAGTTTTGTTCTAATTGCTTCAGTTTTGCAGCTTTCTTGAGATCCGTCGCATCTTCCAACACTTCTCTGATCCATCTTCCTACACTATCTCTTCACCAAAGAGAGAGATGGRTCCCACTGGAGGCATAACCTCTGCCGTACCTACTGCGCCCTTCTTGCATAATATTTGGGACATTTTTGATATAATATCTTTCAACTGTTTCTTTAAGGTAATTACGCAAAAGTAAACCTGCTACCCCTCCACTAACCAAGGCGCGGGGGCCAAGTGGAGACATAATGACCAAGCCTGCTAACCCAGCTACTTTAGCATCATCCCAACCGTTCTCGTGCCACTTACTCACTTGTAAACTGACGTTCAGACTACACTTGCACCAGTTGACAAATGTCTCGCAATTATTGTTCAAGAAATCGTAGCACCCACTCTTTTCTCTCTCCAATCTCTCCTCGGCACGTTTTTAAAAAGTGCACCTTCACGATTTTTTTTATTATCTAAAACAAGTTTTATGAACCTTGTAAGACTTTCTGTGAAAGTTTGGTGATTATTTTGTAAACGGTTGGGACGAAATCGGAAAAATAAAGCCAAAATTAAGTGCGTCAAATTCTTTTGTCCGAGCGGGGACTGGCGCGACTCTTGTGACGTCATCCCAGGCCATAAGTTTGGTCGCAAAAGACTAAATGCCTTTTCAAAAACTCATACATAATTAATGAGTTATTAGGCCAATAGAATGAGCCTATTTGGTCACATGCATGGACCTTTATATCTGATAAAACACTCCTTATTAGTATTCTTTATATATTAAAGAATACTAATAAGGGTGACCTTTATCAGATATAAAGGACCCTAGCAAAGGTCTCAGGCTGTATACCTGATCATTGACCAATGCAGAATGTCAACCGATTTCAGTAAACAGCCAACAGCGTTTCTATTTTACTTAATGCGTATTCAATGTGCGATGAAAATAGTGCTTTGTACATTGATTCGCGCATGATCAGTTTGCCCCATTTATCTCAAAATTTGTTTGTACGCCAATTTCTACAAGAATTTTAACGGATTTGAGTTTCAAACTGGTGTTGGAGTTTTTGAAGCCGTTTAAAACACTCGAATTTCGGCTCGAATCTTTATACCTGATAAAACACTCTCTCTCGTGTTTTAAACTATACCAGCAGTACATAACCAGAAGTGTCCATCTCCCCAATAATATCGACACCATCAGATGTCTCGATAATCTATTTTTAGACAACCAATCACAACGCGCGCGCATATTACACGGCACCTTATTGGTCCTTGTTGATCTACTTCAAGAGCGAACAAGAAAAATGAAAATGTAGTCGATGGAGGCGAACRAAGTGAAGTTTGCATTTACGAGAATAACACACCTTTTGCTGAACAACMATTCTTGAATTCGATAGAAAACATACTTTACTATATGAGCAATGTAGCGAAGGAAGTTCAAGAGCAATATGGTCTGCGAAAACAAGGGAAAAGTTCAGACAATGCAGTTGCACGATGATGTCACACTAGAAAATTTCGTTGCAACTTAGCTCGCGCAAGAAAATGTTCAAGTTGCACGCGTAAATTGAAAATGTACGATCACCTCACTTCACCTCACTCTGTCTCGTTTTCTTCTTCAAAATTATCGCTTTCGCCAAAGATGGCGTCGGGCATCTTTGTTGATTATTACAACAAGTGACARCAGGACAGAYTCTCGCTTTCTTATGRGTTCGTGCGCCTAATTGAAAATTTTGGAAGTTGCAAGAGACCATGTCACACACGCGTTTTYCCGAAAAATGTTGAAAAAAGTAGAAGCTAGTTCTACTTTTCTCTCAACAAAAAATGAAATGTTCAAGTTGCACGAGGGGGTGTCACACGTAAGAAACGCTYGTGCAACTTCATTTTTGCGCGACACAAGTTGCACGAAAAAAACGCGAGTGTGACACGGCCTTTATTGACAAGGAATACGATGTTCAAATCTCAAGTGGACATGACGAGCTCGRCAGTTTTAACATGTGTGCAATTTGATTTTTTTCTTTATACTAAAGATAAGCCGCGAAAATCATTCTTTTCTGAGCGGGCGAGACCTAAAATCAGGCTTGGGTGTTCTTAATCCACTTGTTCTTATACGCGGGTTTTTACAATGATTAAGAGTCTTTTAACAGCACAAAATGTTGTATTTTTTTTATGAATGTCTCTCCCGTCTGTTTTAATTTCGCAACTTATGCAAATTTTGAATTCTTAGACTATTCTTGGTTTTCAAGTTACGTCACAGCGGCCATCTTGGAGGAACTTTAACAAAGGATTTCTCATYAGTATCTATTGTTCATTCCTCCAACATGGCCACCAGTCTTTTATCTTTTGAACCTCATAGGAATGGTTGAAAACGATCAATTGGAGCTTGAATTGAATTATGAAACTTCTCTTTTGCATGGCGGCTTGTGTCATGTACTCGAATATATATTTATCAAATATCAATTGCCCTGGCCTAGGACATTACAATAACATGAAAACATTCTAATTGTTTTAACKCTAAGGATTAGGCATAGTCACCAGAGGGGATCAGAGTGACARCATTTCAAATAAAATGTACATGAGAAATCACATGATTTTTAACCAATCACGATTCAAAAGTTTTATGGTAAGAACGTGTAATTTGGAAAGCCAGGTATATAATAAAGATAAGGTATAATTAAT